CGCTGATTTAGATTATATGTCATCTCCAGAATGCTGAAGTGGTAGCGACTGAAACAAAGTATTGGATGTTAGTGAGTATGCCCATTATTTCAAATTAGTCGAAAAAGGAAAGTTTGGCTATATACATTCCATTAAATCAAAGCTTCCATCCAGATATGGCTCATCGAGACCATTAAAAGTGGTAAATAGACAAATATAGACATGAAAACACTTAAACCCCATTCTTTGCTACCAAGAATTCAGAAATTAGCCTGGGCTATTGGCCTTGGAAAAGGGATTTTGTTCCCACAATCCTAACGACTGTGTGAAAAGGATTCTCAAGGTCCACAAAAAATAATTGTGATTTTCTGATACGAGTTTAACAGCCCTTTTCGATTTACTTTGAATTTCTGCATCTTCATCCAATTGGAGCAGGGCGACTATTTTAGAGGGCGTAAATAATAGATAAAATTATGCTCTCATTGACTAAAGGGAAACTGAAAATGTAGATTTGTTGACTGTATTTACTATGTTCGATATTCCCTCGATCGTACTTCGTGAGAAAAAAATGAATTCTGACTAGCAACTTGATGGACAACCCTTAAACTGGCGTCGTTCCGTGGCAAAAGAGATTTCCTATCCTCAAGGTTTCCTTAGCCTCAGGCAATCAAGTTCGGCCGGGGTTGATCGGGTTCAATCGTGGCTTGCTCACAACGATTATCCTGTCTATAGCACACACAACAATATAGGGACATACATGCTTCGTCTTCTGGCCAAGTTTATCTGCATGGGGAATATTGAAATTAATCCCTATCACGTGGATTGGGCCTCAATATGCTTTTCTGTGGGTTTCAGTGAACTGGGGAAAAATGGGACCTTTTGACACAGATTTGCGATTAAAAATGCAGTTTGACCTTCCTCATTGGCATACACAGTCGATGATCGTAGGAGGCTGGGGTGAAACGTCATAATTACCGTATTTTCCGGCGTATAAGACGACTTTTCACACCATAAATTTCTGCTCCTTAGTGGGAGGTTGTCTTATACGCCGAGTGTAGTTTAGGGATCGCTAATTATACTATGGTTCCGAGCTCCTGTTGTGCCCCTTACCACCTTACAAAATCTATATTTTAACTGGAAAAGTCAGGGGGTCGTCTTATACGCCGGAAAATACGGTACCTTAACTAAGCTTCTGCTTAGACGTTTTCCAATCAAAATGATAGATTGAAGATATGAAGGCCAAGACGGTGTGGCCTTTTGTGTGGTCGCGGTCTTCTTTTGTTGTATAGAAGTTGTTTGAATTTGTTTTCGCGACCTGATCATAATGGTAGGAAGACTTATAGAAAGTACCACATCCACGGTCAGACTTTGGAAATAATTATGCACACAATGAACTCCGGACAAGGTGTGTTTCTATAAGTCTTGCTACCATTATGACCAAGTTGCGAAAACAAGGTCAAACAACGTGTAAAATGATAGATTGTCTGTAAATGTTGACCGATAAATAGTCAAACGGAGCACTCGAAATAGGTTGAATGATCATGGCGCCCGTTTCGAGACGGTTGACTGAATGTGAGAAGAAGCCTTCTTGCGAAAAATGGATATATTGTCGGCATAAAGAAGCGCTTCTGTCCATGGAGCATGGCTTTTGCCGCCAAAATAAGTAATGTACACAAGTTAAAAGAATCCATCCTAAATACTTCCTGTACATGGGCTAAAAGCTGGCAGTTGGAGCAGCTATAGTATTTGAAATAGTAAAAGTAAAAATAGTAATAGTGGTTAGAGATGTAGTAACAAAGGTAGTAGTCGACAATGCAGCAGCATGAACTTTGATGTTAGACATGATAAGGATAGCGGAAATTGGGTCAAAATGTGAAGATATCACCAGCAGTATCAGCAGTGTTTTTAAACAATAAAGGTGGGCTCATACAAATCGGAATCAGCATTTTTCCTTTCTGAATGCTGATGCTTTTCAGTACGGCAATAAGGCTCTTTGCGATGCTGTCAAAACGTGGAGCTGGAAGAAGCACTTTGAGCAATGTCAATACAAGCAGTCTTGCCAGAGGACATTAAGTAGTAGCAGAAGCAACTTGTCTGGTAACCGAGAGTGATGTTCTAAATAAAATATGAGCGGATTGTAACAACCATTAAATCTGGGTTAAGCAACTTTGAGTGCGTTCTCTATGCATGCATTATGTTGGAGACTGTATGTCCGTGAATGCGGGGATATTTGCAGAATCTATTTGTGCAAAAGGGACATGAATTCTTTGCGGGCTTTTGGTTGGCTACACGAAGCTGGTGGGGAATTTGGTGTAGAGATTGGGGCTGGAGGAGCGCTCGTTCGGCGTGGACAGCTGACGCATGTGGCACTGGTGGAAGTGGGCTTGGTCGTGCACCAGCTGAGCATATCCCGACTGGTCGACGGGCATCAGCTCAATCTTGGCAGGTACCAGATCGACGAGCAGGCCGCGAGAAGACTCGCCAGCCTCCCTTTCGGCCAGCAGAACTCGGCCCGCGGTTGCGCCATTCGTGGGGCCCGGCGCCGCGGCGGTACAGCAGCCGGCGCCGGCGTGTCTCGAGCTCGGACGACCCGGTCTCTCGCCGATCGGTCCGTCGGAGGCCAGCATTCGAGGGGGTCCGGTGGCCGGTTCCAGTTGGCCCACCATCGGGCAGGTGTGGTACTCGGGCTTCAGGTGCCAGGTGACCGACAGCCGATTGCGGCCTCCGGCAGGAGCCCCGGCAACGGAGTCGAGGTGGTCTCGCGACTTGGGTCGGGCCATCAGCACGCCGGACACGGTCGCCGCCTGGCCGGGCAGGAACGAGGAGGAAGACGGGGAAGAGGCGAAGGGGAACTTGTCGATTGTCTTGCCAGTCAGTGTAGACATGCCGCTATCCCCGCATGGACCAGAACAACTGTAACTGGGTGGCAGAGTGAGGCAGCGGGACTTCCCGGCTGTGTAGGAAAGAAGTGGGAATGGAGTGGGCAGTTAGTCAAATAATTGTAGGAAGAAAAGTTGGGTTTAGAGGAATCTTTTTTTTCATAATTGTTGAATTTGCTTGAATTTGGTTGTGATGATGGTACCTCGCTTTGATGATGTACGTAATATGACGCACGAAAGGTTAGCACGTTTTCACCGGAATCGAAAGAAATTGCCATGGAAACAGCGTCAGCATGAATGTTACAGTAAAGCCAATCGACAGCTAGTCAAGAGGAATCCGATCTCGTCTTCTGGTGGAACTGACCTTCAAATATCTTCACACAACACTTCTACTCGAAATGGAAGCAAGTCCAATAGACAAATAAGTCATGGGAACCAAGAGTTGTCATCTCAGGGTGTCTGACGGATACAGAAGGCATCAAGAAGTTAAAGCTTTTCGAGACGAATTCAGGAATGAGCACAGTTTTGGGACTCGAGTCAACGTGACTCTACACTTTGAACACATTTAGTGGAAAATGCGACGGAAAAATGGAAAAATCAGCTTGCATACCTCAGCTTTAAAGTGAGAGACAAGATGAATAATAGAAAGTACTAAAGAAAATCTTGACATATGAAGGCGCCATATTTATATGAAATTGGTATATTTCTATGATTGTGGGAAATTTCAACTACCATCCCTTTTACACCTCGTTTATATGATCTCGAAAACCTACTTATAAAACGAAATAATAAGTAGTGTGTATTCGATCGCAATAGAAAATAGAACACAAAATGTGACATTGGAAAATATCTGTCGTCGCTTGAATTTCACATATTCCCTCTAACCCAACGGCACTCGTGGCAATATGGTGCAGTGGATAACGTGTCGAGATTATATGCTGCAATGTCTTGGTTCGAGTCCCGTTGGGGGTGTTGATGAGACCAGTTCAGGCGAGGTGTCAACTGGCTATGTGAAATTCATTTGAAACTTAGAGTCCACTCATCAGATTTTGGGGAATTCAGCTTTTAGCCTCTTATCATCTTAACGAAATAGGGTGAATACCCCTCATATATGACCTACCGGTAATTTTGGATACTTATTTGTACAAGGCTTATCAAGTTTTCACTGGAATAGAAGAAGATTGCCTCAGAAACGGAGTCAGTAATAGTGTTGTAGTAAGTCGTCTTATGGTGTTCAGCATATTTTACCTTTTATTTAAAGTAGAAAGGTGCGAAAAGCAATGAACATTAATTCAACAATTTGAGGCTTCTCAATGAAAATATGATGCCTTATAATGGACCATGCCTACGAAAACTGCCGAGTCCCACATCCACTTAAATGCCTTATTAAAATTGCAAATAAAAAACTTGTTATAAAGACGCCGAGTAACTTAAGCAATTACCAGAAGACGTCACGTTGGGCAGATGTGACCTTCATGAAAAACTGAGCTCCTTTAAATTGTATTTTCTATTCGAAGGTATGAAGACCAAGATGGTGTAACCTTTTCTGTGGTCGCAGTCTCCTTTAGTTGTATAGAAGTTGTTTGACCTTGTTTTCGCGAAATGGTCATTTTGGTAGGAAGACTTAGAGGAACGCACCTAGTCCGGAGTCCATTGTATGCATCACCATTTCCAAAGTTTAACCGTGGACGTGG